CCTGTGGCTATAATCATGGACAAATCATTTTGCAGTGCTACTGTGAGATTGACTGTTTAATCCTCAGCAATTTATGTAATTTGCAATATCTTTGTCTCTTACTTGGTGCAGAAAGGAATAATTTAAAGCATTGCCCCCCTAATTGTTTTAGGATGGAAATAACTTGAACACATTCCCAATTCTGCTTTGTAAGATTAAAAAAAAAATGCAAAAGGTACTAATGGGGGGAAAAAAACCATTAGATTGGTATGCAACTTTTTAGGTAGCAGATTTTGGAGCCAGTTGGCATCATGATTGCTTTAAAAGAAAAAGTAGAGGTCAGCATATGTATATGCACTTTTAGGCATTTGTTAAAAGGTACAAAAACACAAAGTGTAATATTTTTCTAAATTTAAAATAATCTCCAAATGAAAACATCAAAAGCTCTCAAGTTATTACAAAACCAAATATTAAAAGCAGTTTCTGAAGGAAATGTAAGTCTTTCACTCCCAACCTCATGTATGCACAAGGTAAAGTTGACATTCTTAAAACTAAAATTACACAATTTTAGTGTGTGTGTGGTTTGCTAGGCTTAGTGCTAAGTGTTTCTCCTAAATGTCAAATCAGTGCTAACTCATTTCATTCATGTGAAAATAATTGGACATTAAATATCATAATTAGAAAACGTTCAAAAGGTAAAATAGACGGATTCTTAGCAAAACATTCTTTGGTAGTTATTCTGCCCAAACAAATCAATCGTTATGGAAAAAAAAAAACACAGATTTCACATAGCTATATATTTTTTTTTGAATTTGACAATTTTTATTGGTTTTCAATTCGTCATGAGGGTACAGAAAAGAGGTTGGAGGGGGAGAAAAAACTTTTTTATAACTGCAGTATGCTTGTGAGTCGGTTAAGGGTACAGAATGTAATCAGGGGGAAGGGGATGGGGGAGCCCTACCATGGTACAGCGATGAGCTGGTCATTTTTAACATCGTGTGGTCAAACAGCATCTGTAGTACATGCATTACATTGATTGTGTCATTGTATCTATTAGTGCATCATTGTGGTTCATGTAGTTTAGTGCCCTTATCCTTCCACTGTCTTATCCCATAAGAGGGTGTCGTTAGGGTTTTATGTTCTGAGCTACAGTGCGTGTCATTGTCCTCGATGGGCCATGGCGGGGGTGTGGGAGAGAGGGAAGAGTTAAGGGGTAGCAGCAGAGAAGGCTACTGATAATTTGGCCATGTTTTGTGGTTGGCCTCTGTTCGGAGTGGGTATCAGTGGGAAAAATGACTCGTGTATTGCCTCTGGTCAAGGAGGTTTACTTGTATTACGATATTTGCTTGTAGTCTGCATTAAGTAGGTTTAATTAGGTTTATGTTTTTCCCATGCTTTAGGCCAGTATGGGGCTGCTTATTGTGTGCGTCTGGCCATGGTTTCATATGTTTTGTTGGTGTCTATAACTGCAATGCATTGAGTTATGGGGGGGGGTGGTTTGCTTCCATTTCCTACTAATGCTAGTGAGAGCGGCTATGATGATATGGTAGGTGAGGTATGTCTGGTGCTTGTAACAGGAGGAGAAGGAATACTCTGGTGCTTTGGTAACAGGAGGAGAAGGAATACTTCAGGTTTGAATGGTAGCTGAGTCCCCGTGCAGTAAGTGATTAGATTTGCAGTCTGTTGCCAGAATTGATGAAGCATGTAGCATGGTGCCCCTGTCTCTCTGGCATCTCCAGCAGATATCTGATGTGTCGGGGAAGCTGTGTTTAAGGTGTGTGGGGACTAAGTATCATCTGTATAAGATTTTGCAGGTTAATTCCAAGTGGGTCATGCATAGAGTGAGCTGTTTGTGTGCCTTGAAGATAGTGTGCCACTGTTCTTTGGAGAGTTGGTGTCCAATGTCTTTTTCCCATGCAGTTATGAAGGAAGGGGGGTGCTGTTGGGGTCGAAGGTTTTCTGATGTGTAGGTGATTGAGATAAGTTTTTTTGGCTGGCTTGGCTGTTGTGCAGATTTGTTCAATAGTATGCCAGCTTGGGTCTGTGTCATGGGTGAGCGTCTGTTTCGGTTGCAGGGCATGCCAGGAATGTAGTTGTCTATGTGAAAACATAGCTGTGATGGGTAGCGTATATTCGAGCTGGAGGTCTGGGAATGGCTTCAGGTGGGAGCCTTGTAGTAGCTGTGAGAACGTTTTTATGCCGTGTCTATGCCAAAGTTTGTAGTTAAAGTCTGGTATGAGGAGTTTCATCGATTCCAGTGGGAAGGCAGGGGACAATAGGACATTGTTGCCCATACGTTTCCGATAGCTGTCCCACATTGAGATGGTGAGCCTGGTTGTGGGCAGCATTTCAGCGAGTTTTGGTCTTTGGGTTTTAGGCAGCCAGGCTAATGCTGAGATGGATAGACCATTCACATAATTCTTTTCCATCTCAGTCCATGCCATTGGTTTGTGCTGTTGCTGTGATGCTAGTAAAGATGCTATGTGGATTGCTCTGTAGTATTCCATTATATCTGGCAGACCCATCCCGCCTTTGGCAAATGTTCTGTACATTGTTGTCTTCGCCACTCGGGGCTTCTTGTCCTCCCAGATATAGTCATGTAGAAGGTTTTGCAGGTCCTGGATATATTTGTGTGGGAGCTGAATCAGTAATGTTCTGAATTTATATTGAATTTTAGGTAAAACAACCATTTTCACGGAAGCTATTCTGCCTCCCCAGTAGATGAATTTTCACTTCCAGCTCTGCAGAAGTGTTCTGATTTCACCAAGCAGCTTGATATAGTTTGCTTTAAATAGTGTGTTAGGTGTGGGTGTGAAATTTACTCCCAGAAATTTTATGTGATCATGCCTTCAGTCATATGTGAAGTTGGTTTTTAATTGAGCCATGTCTTGTACTGGAACGTTGATCCCCAGGGCTAGGGTTTTTGCGATATTTAATTTGTAATAGGAGCAACGGCTGTATTGGGTGAGGAGTTGGTGGAAATTCGGGAGGGATATATGGGGTTGTTCTAATGTGAGAAGGATGTCGTCTGCAAATAGGGATAATTTGTATTCTTGGCCCTTGAGTGTGACTCCGTGGATATTTGGGTCGTCTCTTATTAGTTGTGTTAGGGGTTCTAATGCTAGTATGTAGAGTAGGGGTAGAGTGGGCAGCCCTGTCTAGAGCCATTTGAAATAGAGAATGGTTTGGATATGAATCCCCTGTTTACTACCCAAGCTGTTGGGGCTGAGTATAGCGCTGTGACTATTGATATGAATTGCGGTGGGAAATCAAATTTTTTAGAGGACCGCGAGGAGGAAGGGCCAGTGGAGCCTGTCGAAGGCTTTTTCTGCGTCTAAGAAGAGTAGTACAGTTGGGACCCTCCCCGCAGCCCGTGTAGCATGTTTAAGATTTTGTGTGTGCCATCTGCTCCCTTCCTACCCCTCACAAACCCCACCTGGTTCCCTCTAATTAAGGTCGGAATGACAGGTGCTAGTCTGTTTGAGAACATTTTTGCGATGAGCTTCACTTCCGCATTCAGTAAGGATATAGGGCGGAGGTTCTGCCTCCTGTCCAGTGGTTTCCTGGGTTTCACGAGGGTGGCAACATGCATTTAGTTCCTGTGTTAAGAATGTGAGTGAACAATTTCCGTAGATAAGGGGCTAAGATTGATGCAAATTGTTTGTAATATAAGTTAGTTAGGCCATCCGGGCCTAGTGATTTTCCTGGTGGGAGTGCCTGTATTGTTTCTAAAATTTCTTGTGTAGTTATTGGATCTTGTATGGCTTGTGCTTGGGTCATTGAAAGTGTTGGTAGTGTCGTTTGTTGGAGGAAGGTGTCTATTTCGTGTTCCGTAGGTTGGTGCACAGTTGTGTCGCTTTTTAGGTTGTACAGGTTTTGGTAGTAATCAACCATCTCATCATTAATATCTTGTGGGTTAAGAAGTTTCTCCCCTGTTTTTGCTATTAGGTATGGGATCTTGGAGTTTGCTTGTTTTTATTTTAGCATCGGTGCTAGGTGTTTCCCCGCTTTGTTGCCTTGGGTTTACGTTTTCATTTTTAGTTTGGTGAGCATGTAAGCTGTTTTGTCAAGGTTCAAACGGTTAATTTGACTGGTTAAATGTTTAATGGTGTCAGTGTGTGTATCAGAGGGGTTCAGAAGGTGAGCATTTATTGTATCTTGGAGTTTCCTCAAGAGGTCTATGTGCTCCTTTTCTCGCTTGCGTTTTAGGTAAGATGCTCGGCTAACTTCCCCTCATGACCGCTTTATGAGCCTGCCATAGGGATGCCACAGAAACGTCTGGGGTGTCATTTATTTCGAAATAGTCTTGTAGTCGGTGAGTGAGTTGCTGTGCGAATGTGTTGTCGTTCAAGAGCGTATCATTGAGGCGCTATGGAGGATTGCCCCTATGTTGGTATTGGTCTTGTAGTGTCATTAAAATGGGTGCGTGGTCTGACCACACTATGTTTCCTATAGAACAGTCTTAGGTTTGTTGGAGAAGGGTTCCTAATGAGAGGATGTGGTCAATTCTGGAGTAAGTCTTGTGGACTTGTGAATAATAGGTGTATTCTCTGGCTGTTTGGTGGAGTTTTCTCCAGACGTCCGGGCGCACTACTTCCACATCAAGGAGTTGGCCCTCAGAATGTACCGCAGCAAACTGAACCCGCATGAGGATTACCCCACAGTGCGCATCATGGCTGATCTCTCCGCGGCAACACTCAAACAGGAGTTCCAACAGATTACGGCAACACTCAGATCAAGGAATTCCGTACAGATGGGGCTACCCAACAAAAATTATACTCACACGTAATGGAGAACCAAACTCCTTCTCCACCCCAGAGGAAGGCCTAAAGATGCTCACGGACTGGGGGCTACCTGCCTCGACATCAAAAGGGCCATTACCCTCTTCCAGACAGACCCGCAGGCCCCAAATGGTCTAATTGGACTGTATGATTTAAGGCATAACTTGACGTTCAACGACAAGCACTCTACGAAAAGCATATACGATAAGTATTGCTTAAGTAGTGCTTAATTTGGTCCACCGTTGATTTCCAGGTGGAAATCAGTTTTTCTGCCATAGCCTCCATGGCCCTCTCAAAGCAATCTCTTGTGAGGCCCTCTGGCGAACGGGGTTTTTCTTCCGTGTGAGGGGCGCTTTCAGCGTTGTAGTTTTCGGCGCCATCTTGCGTGGTTAGCCGTGCGGCCTCAGATGCTGTCGCTCCTTTTTGGCCGAAAAAGCTCAATTTGTCAGCTTTTGCAGCAGTTTTCTTAGGTTTAGATTGCGCCATTGCAGGTTAATAGGTTAAGGATTTTTGATATGGCGTTCCTGATTGTTAATATTTAAAAGTTGTGGAGCCCATGTGCCGGAGCTAAGATTTACGCGGCCATCTTGCTCGGTGGTCAGCCACACCCCATTGCTATATATTTTAACAATTGTACCTGAAAGAGGATTCATTTCTATGTCAGGATGACCTAGAAAACAAGATCCATAGCAACCAGGTCACTTAATCCTGAGGCCAGTAGAAACTCCAAAAACCTTTATCAATAAACTCTATCAAATAAGACAGGATAAATAACACGACTAAAGATGTAATGGAATGATGGAGGTAAATAAGGTCTCGAAGACACTCACACTAGTGATACCACAAGTGGGTATGCATGTATCTCAGTGCTTGAAATAATAACTGTACCATTTTATATGAGCTTGTGAAGTAAAAAATATATACCATAAAAAAAAAGAAAAAATTCTTAGAACATTTGTCAAGAGCTTTATATTTCAAAAGAATTTATCTTTAAACATTCAGAAAATATTTCAGACAGTTGCTTTGCAGCTTCCTTGCTTATTTTAGTACTTGCAGTGACTAGTATAGGTTTATAGATCAGGCTATTGACTTTGTGTCAGCAGCCCAAGAGCACTGTTCACGTGTATTGTGTTTTGCCTATTGAACTCAAGTAAAAGTGCATATTCTAAATTATACAACATGTTTTTATTTAATCTAACCTTTAACTGAAACAGTGTTTGCCATATCATGCGAAGCACCTTTAGTTTTTAGTTGTTTATTTTTTGCTTGATGTCAAATCATTTTGATATTGTGTTTGTTTACATTGAAAATTAACCCCTTAAGGACCAAACTTCTGGAATAAAAGGGAATCATGACATGTCACACATGTCATGTGTCCTTAAGGGGTTAATAGCAGATGAAAGGAGTAAACAGTTTTAAACAAATACTATGTAAACATAGAATCCCCAACACCCTCAAAATATTAAAAATTAGATACTGAGAGATGGGGAATGTGCCTGCTACATCTTTATGACAACAGTATTTCCAGTCAATCTTCAAAATACAGAATGTCTGGGCACACCTGTGGTTCCTCATAAGGCAGTGTTTATTGCAGCAGAAAACAGACAACATTTCGACACCCTTACATGCCTTTGTCAAGTCTAAATAACATGTGTGAGTAGTGCGTTTTTTATATCATCACATTTAAATAGAACAAGTGAAAGAAATCATAACATCAAGTGCATACAACTGGTGACTCAAATAAAATATAGCCATTGGATACTCAGTCAATCACTTATTATTGTGTGATTTCACATATTCAGGAATAAAGTTTAACATACATATGTCAAACATTCTCTACCTGGTGCACGCCAGCATTGCAGTCATATGATGCCACCATCAGCAATCGCATAAAATGAGCATAAAATAAAACCAAGTCCGGAAGTATCCGGTACTTGTTATAAATCATTTAGAAAACATATCGTCAGAAAGGAGAACTCTTCCTGTAGTGTATGTTTAAAAGTACAACATAATATAAATATTTCAATCAATGAGGTGCAAAAGACTTAAATTGTAATTAATGAATAGGAAATAAAAATTGTTTCAGGCTAGAGGTAACTGTAAAGTGCATACTAGTATCACGAAAAAATTAAGTATACATAATAAGTGGAAATAAAGAACAATTACATCTTAACCCCTTCCCGACCTCGTCCGCGCAATTCCTACTTACTTACCATCTCTCAATGTCATCCCTAAAAGCGGGCCAGACTTTAGCTAAATTATATGTATGCCTCTTAGACAGGTTCTTACAGAGATTAATACCTAAATAGGAGATTTTTTTAATCCCTCTAGTCCAAGTTAAAGTCCTCTTTTAAAGTGTTCAATATGTGCCGTGGGACAAAAAAGGATAGTGCCTGAGTGTTATTTGTGTTTAGTTTATAGTAAAAAAATTTGCCAAATTCTTGCAAGATAGACATTAATAATGGGACTGAGGTTATTTTTCAATGATAGCATTATGTCATCTGCAAATAAGCCTATTATTATTATTGTTTTTTATTCTTTATTTTTGGTGTGCGTAAGATTAACAAGCATGCTTGCCGAGCCACAACAGCTTCAACAAGTTCCACAATAACAGGTATAGTATATATTAGCACAGCATTAGGAATATCAGCACATATTTTTTTAGAAGTAGTCTCAGGCTGATCAGTGAGTCAAACCCTTCTAAATACTAGCTAACAACTCAGCTAAAGTAATATGGAATAAGAGAACGCATGAAGCGTAATAATTATAGGCACAGGTATCTCACACTGAAAACATGAAATAGAAAGTAACTGTAAAGCATGTCAGATAGCTTTTCCAGTGAATAAATTTCCCAGGAGGCCCCCCTTGTAGGCAAGAAATGGATGCCCTTCATGCAGCGATGGTGGGGCAATGCTGCAGCTTATCACTGATCCCAGCCAAAAGTCCCTCATGTTTCTTGTGATTTGTTGCATCGTGTGAGGTTTCTCTCCAGACTGTTGCAAGACCCGTATTTCCATGTCACGGAACACAGCCAGACCTTTATTGTGTAAAGGGACTTGAATAACCCGTTCAGCTGCAGCAGGGCTGCAAGACATCCTCTGCAGGGATCAGAGGGACACACAGCATTGGCCATCTTGAGTGAAAATAACTTGTTGTGATAGTGCTGCGCGCTCTCCTTTTGGTAAGGGTACCTGCAGGGAGTAGACCGGGATCCCCCCACCAGTCCAGAGGGGGGGGGCACCAAAAGGCGTCACGGTTGTCATCGATGACAAGCACGCCCCATCACAAAGTGAGCATGTTGGTTCAATGCTCTTCCAGGGCAGACCATGCGCAGAGCTCTGCTGAAGAGCTCTAGCATGATAAAAATGCCCTGTATTTGTTCGGCACAGCACAAGCAAATTTAATAACATGCTTGCACTATGTTTGCTTGAAATTTGTCTCTGGTGTCTCCATAGATGGGATACCAGGAGACAAAAATACCAGGAAAGAGTATTGTGCAGTGTGTTTATGAGGGTGCTCTGTGTGTGTGTGTGCAAGTGGGGTGCAGTGTGTGTGTGAGGGGTGTAGTGTGTGTGTGAGGAGTGTAGTATGGGTAAGGGGCTGTGTGTGTGAAGGTTGCAGTGTGTGTGATGGGTGCAGTGTGTGTGAGGGTGCTGTGTTTGCGTGACGGTGCTATGTGCATGTGAAGAAGCTGTGTGTGAGGGTGCTGTGAGTGTCAGGGGTGCAGTGTGTGTGTGTGTGAGTAAGGGTATTGTGAGTGTCAGGGGTGCAGTGTGTGTTTGTGTGTGTGTGGGGGGGTGTAGTGTGTGTGCAAGAGGGGTGCAGTGTGTGTGAGTAAGGGTGCTGTGAGTGTCAGGGGTGCAGTGTGTGTTTGTTTGTGTGTGTGATTGTGAGGGGTGTAGTGTGTGTGCAAGAGGGGTGCAGTGTGTGTCTGAGGGTGCTGTGTGTGAGGGGTGCTGTGTGTGTGTGTGTGTGGAGGTGCTGTGAGTGTCAGGGGTGCAGTGTGTGTGTGTGTGTGTGTGAGGAAGGGTGCTGTGAGTGTCAGTGTGAGGAAGGGTGTAGTGTGTGTGTGTGGTGTGTAGTGTGTGTGTGTGTGTGGTGTGTAGTGTGTGTGCAAGGTGGGTGAAGTGTGTGTCTGAGGGTGCTGTGTGTGAGGGGTGCAGTGTGTGTGTGTGTGCTGTGTGTGAGTGATCAGTGCAGTGTGTGTGAGGGTGCTGTGTTTGAGTGAGGGTGATGTGTTTGAATGAGGGTGCTATGTGCGTGTGAGGGTGCAGTGTGTGTATATGTGAGAGTGAGGGTGCTGTGAGTGTCAGGGATGCAGTGTGTGTGTGTGAGTGAGGGTACTGTGAGTGCCAGGGGTGCAGTGTGTCTGAGGGAGGGTGCTTTGAGTGCCAGGGGTACAGTGTGTGTGTGTGTGTGTGTGTGTGTGTGTGGGTGAGAGTGAGGGTGCTGTGAGTGACAGGGGTGCAGTGTGTGTGAGTGATGGTGCTGTGAGTGTCAGGGATGCAGTGTGTGTGTGTGTGTGAGTGAGGGTGCTGATGTGTGAATATGGTTGGAGGGCTTGTGTGTTGGGGGGCAGATTATTATCTATATAGTAATTAAAAATAAAAATCATTCATTATGTTCCCCCTCCCTTCTTACCTTTAGCCTGAGAGGGGGGACCGTGTTGCCATCCCTGGTGATGCTAGTGGTGAGTGAACTCTAGCCTGTGGGGCAAGAGTTCACTCTTCCGAGACCCGGAGAATTGCCATGGGAACGCTTCAAATCTTCTGAGAGGAACCTGGCGGAGCTGCAAGATAGAGCTCCTCCGGGTCCTCTCCTGTATCCCTCCTAGTGCGGCCCTGCATAGACTGGCAGGGGAGACCCTGGTATCCTATGATCCTGATGGCCAATTCGGGCCTGAGTATATATGTGTGTGTGTGAAAGGATTATGGAATATGTAGGGGAAATGTCTACGGCATTGTTCATCTTATATATTTGGTAAATTATTTTATTTTTTAATCTTTTTTTCTAAAACAAAATTTTTGTATTTGTTTCCAGTAACCCCTTCACACCAGCACTTATGTATACACAAATCAAGGCTATACAACCATACCCCACAATTGTGTATAAACAATTGTTTGCAAGTTATGCTACAACTACAGCCAGAGATCTCACAATCATGGGTGTCTGCAGGAGAGGGCAAGGGGACTTCTCCCCTCCCCACCACTGGATTTTTCAGATTGCAACAATAATTTTCTTTTGAGATTTAGAATACCCTACAATACCGCACCGGCCAGTAGGTGGCGGTGCATATGGAGAAAGGCAGGGATAGGAAGCTACATCTTATTCCTGCTTCTCTCTCCTGACTGAATCCACAGGGGAGCAGCACAGAGCGCAGCCAGCAATGCCCAGACTGCAGAGACAGCCTACAGATCAGGTAAGTGAGGGATGGTGGGGCAGCCTACAGATAAGGTAAGTGAGGCATGGCGGGGGGGGCAACTTACAGATCAGGTAAGTAAGGGATAGGTGGGCAGACTACAGTTTAGGTAAGTCAGGGGTGGGGAGGCAACCTGCAGATCGGGTAAGTGAGGGATGGGGAGGCAGCTTACAGATCAGGTAAGTGAGGGGTGGGGGGCAGCCTACAGATCAGGTAGGTGAGGCATGGGGGGCAGCCTACAGATCATATAAGTGAGGCATGGGAGCAGCTTACAGGAAGGGTCAGAAAGGAGCAGGAAGGTAACTAGAAAAAGGAGCAGAAAGGAGAAGGAGCAGAAATGAACAAGAAGGGGCATTAAAGGAACACTGTAGGGTCAGGAACCCATCATTTAGGTGGCTTGCCCCCCCTTTATTCCCCCTTAAAAGTTAATAAAACGCACCTGATTTCCAGCACCGTGCGGGTCCGACGGCGGTGGCCCCTCCCCCTTGGTGACATCATCAGGATTGCCGATTTATAGCCAATCCGAAAGTATTGGATTGGCTAAAATAGGCAAGGGGTAGGCTAAACGCCACTTTGGCTAATCAGCACCTCCTCATAGAGATGCATTGAATCAATGCATCTCTATGAGGAAAATTCAGCTTCCCAATGCAGGGCGTGGAAATGCTGAACGGCACTGCTGCCTACTGTGCAGTGGCCACTTGTAGGTGTCCCTGGGGGCAATGTAAACACTGCCTTTTCTCTGAAAAGGCAGTGTTTGCGTGAAAATGCCGGCATATAATGATTATACTCACCAGAACAACTATATTACGCTGTAGTTGTTCTGGTGACTATAGTGTCCCATTAAGGAGCAGAAAGGATCTGCAAAGAGCATAAAAGTAAAGAAGGAGAAGGAGCACAAAGGAACCAAAAGTGTCAGCAAGGAGATGGAAAGGGCAGCAAGGAGCAGAATGGGGCAGCAATGAGCTTGAAGTTGCAGAAGAAGCACAAAGGTAAAGTAAGGGAATGAGCAGAAAGGAACAGAAATGAGCAGGAATGGTCTGCAAGGAGCAGAAAGGGGCAGTGAAATGGAAAAATCAATTAAAAGTATTGATTATTTCTTTGTGTATCTGCCCCTGGCCAAATCAATGAAACAATGCGTGCACGCTCCCTGAAGTAATTCACACCAGACACAGGTTCCAGGTTGTTGAATAACTTGAGGAATGTTTATTCAGAGGGGCCGGCAGGTCCCTTTTAAAGCAAAATTACATCATAAGCATTGTCAGAGATAACATGGAATAATACATCAATAATTGGTTAAGTGTTAAGTGTTTTATTCAAAGCACGTCCTACAGGGTGTGCCTTCTTATGTCATTACTGTCGTCATGGAGTTCTCCCCCCGGATTCCAGCTCCATCTTGAAAATTAGAGTGTTTGGTCGATGGGTGGGGTACTCCTGAGTGACATCTAGTGGTCAGTTTAGTAATTTATTGGATAATATTGAGTATAACTAAATGGAGTAAATAGACATTTTACTAGCTAAAAAATATGTCAATATTTCATGTCACCAGGTCCATGAGGGTCTCCCACGGTTTCCCGGCACCATCTTGCTGCACGAGGTAGTTAGTCGGTGTTAAAGGGGCAGGGGGAGGAGGGGGTTAGAAGCTTCTAGCAGCCATCTTGATTAGAGCACGTGTGTATAGCTTTATATATGATATATCGTGGAATGAGTAAATAGACATTTTCACTAACTAGGAAATATGTGCAAACCTTATTTCCACAACAGTCCCCCCTAAAATGGCTATTTACCATAACAACTGCTACTGTCCCTAATATGTCCCTAGCTGCCTGCAGCTCATCTGTCTTAACAAGCATCGAACTCTTCACTCCGTGGGTAACCCGCAGCGGCTAGTCCACCACATCTCCGCACGTGAGACTCGCCTGTAGAGACAGATGCTTTCCCTATGCTATCCCTATGAAAATGCAGTTGTCTGTCTGACTTAGTGGGATTGGAGGGGTGTATGTGGTGTGTCACATTCTAGGTCAGTGACGTCTTAGTGTAGTAAAGTAGGGGTAACGTCATCTATAGTCTTCCCTACTGCTTTCTGTAAGTACTTCTGTATGCAAGGGAGCACACAACAGGTTAGGAATAAGAAGATGATAATCATTATAAGAACAGCCGTTCCTTTGCCAACCATTCATCCACCCAAACCATCTGTCCCAAGTGTCAGTGACTCCCGAATTCTTCTTTAGCTCGTCAGAAAGACTATCTAGCTTCTCTATGGCCATAGTCACCTTACCATTGGGCCCAGTGTTGTCTGGAATGTATGTGCAGCATGTCATAGTCTCAGGGAGGTTTTTACATACACCCCCTTTCTCAGTTAAAATCATATCTAGGGCCATTCTGTTCTGAAATGTCATTTGGGTAGTGGCTTGTAATTGCTCTGCCAGGCCCTGTAGGGCATCCCTTGTGTAGTTAACGAAGCGCTGCTGATTATAATAGATATAATTGATCCAATTGACATTCTTATTAGCAGTTATCATTGGAATTAAGGATTCAAATCCTACTGCCACTTCATCCCTTGCTTTGAACTCGCTAGGCACCCCCCTTGGCACACCTATGGCAACAATATACACATGGGGGTCGAAGCTCCCTCGGATGGGGGCCTCACGTCTGGTTCTAGAATGTATATGTGTAAGGTTTAATGTGTTATGACTAACATCTGGAATAATGTGGATAGGCATTATAACTTTGGCTAGGGCACACTCCCCCCACCATTGCCCAGCTAGTTGGGCCCTCAATTGTCTGTCACCACATAACTAATAGATATCTCCAATGGTCTTTGCATGATTTATTAGCAGTGACACAGGTGGGCTATGGTAGGTTGAGCAATATCCAGATGGGAATCTGCCCAGATACACACCAGTATTCTTAGGTATAGCATAACATGTGTAATTACCTGGATACACGGTGACTCCATCAGGTGGCTTGACATATCCATGAGTGATTGGGTAAACCCTTTTCCATGATTCACATGTTGAGGAATTTGTGGTGGACTGTGCGTGGAGGCTTAGGACACATAATTCTACTTCGGGAGGTAAACTTAGAGGTGCCGTACCCAAATGGGGCCTAGCTCCTCCACATACATAGCAATTAGTCGTATTGTGTGAGTTGGCATTATACCTCATCCATTCTAGCCACAAATTAGTGTCTGAAAACCCAGTCTCTACTGCCATAGGATCTTCAAAGGTGGGATTGGCTATAGCTACCATGTCATGTAGAGTCTTAATATGTGGTTTTAACGGGTTAATAGTCATGTGAGTGGTTCCTACCCAGTCTGGTGAGGTGAGCCTTTTTGCTAGGTATGTCTTTGTATATGGCTGCATATTGTGTTTGTGGAAAAGGTGCAAACAACTATGTCACAGTAATCAAAGGTGTATGTAGCTACATCTGTGTTAGAAGAATTGTACCAGAAAGTGTAAACATGATTATCTTTGGTTATGGCCACTTGTTGGGCCCAGGCAAAGTGTAGCAGCATAAGAAAACACAAGACACATAATAAATTCATATTTCAGCAGGATTAGCCTCTTCTGGAGCAGGCACTTTTTTGCAATGTGAAGCGTGTATCCAAGAACTCTTCCCGGCTAGTTTAACTGACGTTGCTGTAATCAGGAGCACTTGATATGGGCCATCAAATCTTGGTTCTAGGGTGTGTTTCCTGAGAAACTTCTTGACCATAACCCAATCACCAGGAAGCAGCTTGTGTGTACCTGTATTCGACTCAGGATCTGGAATAGAAGAAAACACTTAGGCATGTATTTTGGTCAAGGCATGTGAGAGGGCAGTCACATAGTCTACCATAGCATCTGACTGAATCTGAAGCTGTTGGGGAAAGTAACAACCTAACCTGGGTGCTGTACCAAACAAAATCTCATAAGGTGATAGGCTATATTTTTCCCCTAGGAGTGTACCTTACACTAAACAACGCTAATGGGAGACTCTCGGGCCAGGGCATGTTAGTTTCTTGTGACATTTTAAGCATTCTGGCTTTCAAAGTGCCATTCATGCGCTCTACCTTACCGCTACTCTGTGGGTGATATGGTGTGTGGAATGCAAGGGTCACCCCCAGTGCTGACCAGACTTCCCGTGTTAACGAGGCAGTGAAGGAGGTCCCTTGGTCACTTTCAATCACTTCTGGAACTCCATATCGGCAAACAATTTCCGTCAAAAGGTACTTGGCTGTAGTCCTCGCGGTGAGATTAGTCACTGGGAAGGCCTCTGGCCATCCTGAAAACATGTCCACTATGACCAGTGCATATTCATAACGTCCACTCTTTGGCATTTGAATATGGTCAATCTGGATCCTCTGAAAGGGGTATTGTGGCTTGGCTAGGTGATTAGGTGTGGTCTTTAAAATCTTTCCAGGATTGCTTTTAGCACATATAGTACAAGATTTACAGTAATTCTGTGTTCAGGTAGTGATGCCTGGTGCTTCAAAATACTTGTCAATTAATGAGTTCATCAGGTGTTTTGACAGGTGGGCTGGCCCATGGGTCCATTGGACCACCGCTGGGTACATGCAAAACTTGAGATTGATGGTGTAAACATCATCACGGAGTACAGCTCCTTTGTTCTTCCAACTTTGTTTCTCCTGGGGAGTAGCAGCAGCTTGTTGTTCCTTCAGAAGCCTAAGATCTGTAGGCAATGTTTGCATAGTATAGATGGGTACTGCATCTGTGGCCACTCTTCTGTCCACTTCCCATCCTTGTCGTGCTGCTTCCTTAGCAGCCTGATCAGCTAAGTGGTTGCCCCGTGCTTCTTCTGAGTCTAGCCTTCCGTGGGCTTTTACTTTTAATACTGCTACCAAATTAGACCAAAGTCATGTGCTACTCCCAGAGCATATCTTGAGTCTGTATAGATGTTGACACGTAGGCCTTCAGACAATTTACAGGCCACAGTTAAGGTTGTTAACTCTGCTTCTTGAGCAGACTTGGTTGGTTGTAGGGCAGCTGCTTGTAATACTTGACATCCGGTGGTGACTGCATACCCAGTGTGATATTGTCCCTGTTCATCAGCGAATCTTGACCCATCCACAAATAGTGTTTGATCCGGCAGGTCTTGGCCATCGGGCCTAGGTCTTTCCATGAGGTGTCGGGGGATCGCTGTTTCCCAATGATGGTAGAGATGTGTCATGTTCTCTGGAAGATGGACTAAGATGAGCAAGGTACCTGTGGGGTCCCATAACAAGTCAGTCAGGGTAATTTGAATTTCCTTGAGCTGGAATAATTCTTCCTCATAGTTCATATCAGGGCCTGGTCTGTCTTTAAACCATAAGGTGCAGTGAAGTAGGGCCTCTGATTGTTCATCATGTGGGGGTGCAAGTGCAGGCAGCTGCAAATCTGCTCGAACCTCTGGGTTGATGTCGAGGCTATACCAGTAATGCACAATTCCCCCCCTGGGAAGTGGCAGAAGAGTGGCCGGGTTCAGGGAGAGACATCGCTGAAGTTTCACATTGTCAGGTAACAGTAAGGATGTTTGTAGACGAAGGTAACGTTGAGAAGAAAGGTGCTTAGGTTGAACTTGTTGCAGGATTGCAGTAATGTCATGAGGGGCCAACACCGTGAGGTGGTGACCAAGAACAAAATCATTAGTCTTGTCCAAGAGGACACCGGCAGCAAACACCGCTCTGAGGCATGAGGGACTACGCCTAGCAACGGGGTCGAGCATGCAGGAAAAATAGCCAATAGGTCGCTGTCTTGAGCCATGTTTTTGGGTTAGGACTCCGGAAGCATGTCCAGACTTTTCTGAGACAAACAGATTGAAAGGTAACTGGTAGTTTGGAAGGCCCAAAGCAGGTGCAGAAGCAATAGCTCTTTTCAGATTTTGGAAACAGGTAATAGCTTCTTCGGTAAGATGAAAGGGCTCACACCTGAGGGAGTCAGAGTGGCTGCATGAGCTTTGAGGCTTCCGGTATCCAGGACCTGCAGTATGTAATGAGACCCAAGAAGGCATGAAGAGTCTGATGTGTTGCAGGTAATGGGAGTTGCAAAATAGCTTGTACACGCTGAGAAGTTAGATTTCTGGTGCCATGGGAAAGACAATGTCCCAAGAAGACCACAGAGGGCCGGCACCATTGCAGCTTGGATTTGGAAGCTTTGCAACCGGCTTCAGCGAGAAAACATAGGAGATCTTCTGAGTCACGTTCAGCAATAAGTGAATCAGGAGCACAGAGAAGGAGGTCATCAACATATTGAAGTAGGACAACATCAGAGTGAGTTTTCTGCCAGGGTTCTAGTACCAAAGACAAGGCACGGGCAAACTGAGTGGGGGGATTCTGGGCCCCCTGAGGTATGACAGTCCAGGTGTATTGTTGTCCTTCATGGGTAAAAGCGAAGAGGAAGCGACAGGAGGGGTCTAGTGGCACACTGAAAAATGCATTAGCCAGATCTACTACAGTGAATACCGTGGAT